GGCGGAGGGGGAGTACAGTATTATTAATTCTAGTCACCATGGTATTATGCATACAAACCAGTAGTGAAATTTTGTGGAGTTTTTTGTTTTCTTTGTGGGTTTGTTTGGGTTTTTTTGCTTTGGGGTGGGGGGAGGGAAGAAGGTGGTGTTGTAATTGTTTAAATTGTTAAAGCCCATTTACTTTAATACCTCATCAGTACTTTCACTTATATTTACTTCATGATTCAAGATACAGGTCAGAAATTTTCACTTTGACTTTTAACTTGTCAGAAGTTGCCCAATTAGAGCTGCATTGCTTCTTTTGTACTTTTCTCATCAGTGCTTTTCTTCCTTTTTAAAAGCCTAAAACAGAAATTTCAATTATCAAAAAAACCTCAGAATCAAAAAGAAGATAATGATCTTTGAACCTATAACTGCTAATCATACAGAAATTTGAGTAGTAATTACTTTTGGGGCTACTTTGGGGGAAAATGTTTCGTTCTTGTCTCAGTTACGTGTAACTGGGAACTTAATGTTTCAAAAGTAGTTTATACTCACAGATAATACTAGAACCCTATGTTAGCCAATAATTTCAGTGCCCCTTTCTAGAAAACCTTTATGCTATTTATCAAATAGCAAACTGAATTGATTTACATTTGTTTTTTTTGTTTCACTTGCTTACCAAATGGTGGAGGTGCTAAAGAACAATGAACAAAAGGTAGGCTATAAAAAGGAGAACAGAAAAAAGACTTGGCTAATCTTTACACTGAATAATCAGTGTATGGATTATTTGAAATGGAATAAATGATCCTGAGTATTCATGGATTTGATTTTAGTATTCCTAATATTTAAATGCTCAATGAGAACTTGATCTTCTCCATTTTCCTAAAATTTTTTAAATGAAACATTCATATACATTCTGTTTATAGAAACTAAACAAAAATGAATATGAAGTGATATACACTCACTGATTATATAAACCTGTATCATCAAAAAAAAAAGCCTTTTTCCTGCTACAAAAGTAATACATGTTCATTTTAAACAATTAAATACATGTCATCTTGTATTAGCTATCCTGAAAAAGAAAATTTTAATGTCCAGGAGTTATTTTTCTTATGCTATAGTTATATACTTGCCTTAAAAAAAAATCTGTTTCTTTAGTGCCTTCCACTAGTGCTATTAGTAAAAGGAGAACTTACTCAAAATCTGATAAATATTGTAATGTTTAAGAAAAACTGTTTAATTTTAAATAAAAGAGAGATCCACCATACAGTATAACAGCTCAGAAACATCTTGTTCTCTAAGTGGTCTGTAGGCTTTTTTGCTTTTGAGGATTGTGTTGTTTTAAATGTTTCCAATATGCTATATTTTTCAGCTTTGATTTTCTTATCTGGAAGGTTGGGCTTTTACATTTCGGATATAATGTATGTAAAGTATCCATCCAAGTATTAAACACACTGAAAGTGGTAGCTGCAATAAAATTTGAGGTGTCTTAAAACTTACCAAAAGCTTTTATTGCTACTGCACAGCTTAACAGTTTTTAATGTATTTGAGTTTAGGTTCTGAGTCTTATCAATTTCTGGTGGTTATTCTTTTATTTATAAAGGTAACTGCCATTTTAATTTAAAAAATTTCAAATATTAATCGGTGTAGTAATTATGTTCAGGTTTGACAGCACAGGTTTTATTTCAGAATTTAAATTTTGATATGTCTATGTTTCTTTTCAGTTATATTTTATAATAATTTTCAATAGGTTGAAAGACTTGAAGCCAAAGTAGTTGAACCTTTGAAAGCTTATGGAACCATTGTAAAAATGAAACGAGTAAGTAAATTCATTTTTTCTACTATTATTAGGTATTCTGGCAAAACATATGAGGTTTCCAATAACTGTCCTTTTAATAAAAGGTACAGAGTAGTGTTTAGTCATTCTTTTTTCACACTCTGAAGCATTCTTAGAACTTTTAGAATAAGGAAGTATTTTTATTTACTACTGTAGCATCATAAAGCAGTTTTGTTTATTATGGAAACTTTAAAATATTTAATATTTATATTCATGAAGAACATATGGACAGAAATTATTTTACTAAATGAATTTGTTTATATTTTTGTTTTAAAGCAGGTGATAACATGTAAACTAGAAATGAATGTGACAAAGTTTTTTTTAATTTTTTTGAGGTATAATTGACATATATTAGTTTCAAGTGTACAACATAACGATTTGATGTTTGTATATATTATGAAATGGTCACAATAAGTCTAGTTAACATCTGTCATGATACATAGTTACAAATTTTTTTTTCTTGTGATGAGAACTTTTAAGATCTAGTCTCCTAGCAACTTTCAAAATGCAGTACAGTATTATTAATTCTAGTCACCAGGGTATACATTACATTCCCAAAGTTCTGTTTTTTAAATCAACTTTATTGAGGTATAATTTACATGCAGTAAAATGCTCTTGTTTTAAATGTACACTGAGTTTTAATAAATGTGTATACATCTGTAACTACCACCACAATCAAAATTTTATGTGTGTGTATATACATATATATAAATATATATATAGTTTTGCATTGAAATTGTGTCATTATTTGAGAGGATATTAAACTACACACATGCACACAGTCTCACACAAAAAGACACACACTGATTATGCAATAGTAATAATTCCTGTGGTAATGATGCCTGGATCAAATAGGGAGTGTTCTTCCCTTCTTAAAACAGAGAAGTGTATATTTTACTACTTAAATAAGAGATTTTTATTAACAAAAAAAAAATGCCTGTTTGCAGGATGACCTCAAAGCAACATTAACAGCAAGGAATCGAGAAGCTAAACAGTTAACTCAGTTAGAAAGAACACGTCAGAGAAACCCATCTGATCGACATGTTATTGTATCCTTTGAATTTGGGTCTTTAAAAAGATATTTTGTAAGGTATGCAGTACAGAAGTAAATATATATGGAAATTATGCATTTCTACTTTAAATGTGCAAAGAATATGAATGTAAAGTTTGAAAAGAAACGCATGCATTTACAAATTCTCACTATGGAAATTAGCTAATTTTAAAGAGAATACACAACTTAATTCAGTCTTATGTTGTTTTCCACAAGATATTCAAAATATAAAACACTCATAAGTGTAGATGTTTTTATAAAGAATACAAAATTCTAAGATTTTTTACATAAATGATGACTAAATATTAATTATAAACTTAAAGATCTATCATTAATCCTAATATATCAATGCCTTCTCAGCCCTGCATTTGAGAAAAGGAAGGAACAATAATTTTTTTCCTGGTAAAATTCCCTTCATCTTAAAAAACAACAGCTATGTGAAACCACAATTATGACTTCCAGCCAAAGACCCTCAGGAGATTCAAGAGTATAATTGAGGTCCACAGCTGGACACAGATCTAAATAGGAGTGTCTACTGTAACAAGGTTCTTCTGTTCAGAATGATTATTTGTTAAACTAGAATGTGCCTTGTTCAAAACTAAACAGGGACTTCCCTGGTGGTGCAGTGGTTAAGAATCCACCTGCCAGTGCATGGGACGCGGGTTCGATCCCTGGTGAGGGAAGATCCCACATGCTGCGGAGCAACTAAGCCCGTGCACCACAACTACTGAGCCTGCGCTATAGAGCCCATGAGCCACAACTACTGAAGCCCGCGCACCTAGAGCCCATGTTCTGCAACAAGAGAAGCCACTGCAATGAGAAGCTGGTGCACCACAAGGAAGAGTAGCCCCTGCTCACCGTAACTAGAGAAAGCCCACATACAGCAACGAAGACCCAATGCAGCCATAAATAAATAAATAAATAGATAAATAAATTAACTAAATAAAGAAAATAGCATCTGGCTAATTGCCAGCAACTGGGATCGGTGCAGTTGTATATAAAGTACTAACTTATCCCGCTGCCTCTTTTTCCCATTCCTTGTGTCTCCTCCCTACTTCCTTAAGGTTTTTCACAGCCCACCTTTGCCAGAAACCACATGAGGATTGACTCTTTGGGGACATTTGAGGTTCCAGAACACCTCCATTTCTGAGGGGAATCCCTTGATTAGTGATTTTGGGCTGCACCAACAGCCTGGTCCTCCTTCCTTTGGACCAAAGATACATACGCCCAACCTTGTAATAAAAATGGGCAGCCACATGTCTGGGATCGACAAACTGGAGATTATAGAGTCTGGGTTTCAAGCAAGTCAGACAAACTACAGTATGCTGGAAAATCTGACTGACAACTATGGACTAAGGCAGAGACTAGGGAATATCACCAGTTTTTAAGAATCAAGCCAGAGGTCAAAATTTTGCTGCTTTGTTCGGAGGAGGGGAGAGTACATAAGGGCAGAAAAAATGTCACATCTGGAATCTTGAGGAGGTGGTAAGATTGATTCAGGGGTATTGCTATGGACACTCGATGTGGAAATAAATGTCTTCCTAAGACAGACGCCTCTGACTTTGGTACTTTGCTGTAAACACTGCTGTGGAGGAGGCTGTCTTATACCATAGACAGCAGGTCAGGAGTTCACACAGGGGGAGATAAAGCAGCAACTGAATAGATTATGGCTGTAGATGAATTGCCACACTCAGTGGGAAAGGTGTAGGACTCCAGTGGATTTTGACAACCTGAAACCAGAAAATAAAGGACAGTCTACATGTAAATGCATCCACTATAAATACACAGATATTCTATCATAGCATCATAGAATATTTACCAGGATAGACCCTTAAAATTCATCTGATCTTCAAAAGAAGTACACTAAAGTTCAGTATATAAAATAAAAGAGTAGTTCTGGTATAAGAGGATGGGGTAAAGAAGAATCCCAGTGTTCTGCCTGGGCCCCCTAAGGCCCCTGGTGGCTTCTGAAAAAGCTTCTTGCAACAGAAAAACACCAATCTGGCTCACTCTTTTATAAGCCATTTTGCACTCATGACTAATTTCATTAAATACACTGATATCCTTACTCATAAAGTTGTATCACAGTATTTTAATCAAAAGTATCTCCTACCCAAATTGGTATGTTATAGGATTTTGAAGAATTTTCAACAAAAGGAAGAAACAGAAATCTGTATCCACTTTGCTAAAAATAGCTGTGCAAATTTGGGCACGTGGCTATGCCCGAGTAAAAGGATTTGAGACTAGGAAATGAATCATAGTTGCTGGAGTGTGGTAGAAGGTTAAGATACCCATGTCCCAGCTGTGGCTTCTGCTTCCCTGCTCTTTGCTAATTTAGCCAACTCTACCTACCCTTCCAGATTTTAAAACGAAACTGTCAATAAACGGGGAGGGAAAAGATGTTAAGTCAAAAGTAAGTAGTCACGGTAAAGAATTTCACAAGTCACATGTACTGAACAGTATTAGAAAAATAGTCTGCTTGAATATTCTCATTAGTAAAAGGTTAACATGCATCATAACTGTTAGAAATTTTTTCATAATAAATCCTGTGATAGTTATATTTTTAAAAATCTGAAAATCAGTAATAAAGAGAATTGTTTTTGATTACTGGTTATGATTAAAAGCATAAAAGTTTGCATGGATTTAAAGAAAACTTTATACCCTATATAGCAAATGTACACACACAGAGATATATATAAATAAGTTTTAAATGCTTAGTTTCTTGAAATTGTATATCTGAATTAACCTAGTTGTAAGTATATAATCAATATAAAGTTATGATTAATGTATATTCTAATTGCAAGAAGATATAATTCTATAATAGCATATGATTTTAATTTATTGGAAGAAATTGTTCTATTTGAAATGTATTTTTTTCCTTTATGAAAAATTTCAGTCACAGGTGGGTAATAAAGTGATGTGTGAAGAAATGGACCCCTATAGTAAACCTTTTTACTTATTTCAATTTATACATTTTCTTGAAAAAGAAAGCAAAGGCTTAAATGTCATAATATTATGTTTCACAAAACTTTGATTCACAACTGCAAATTTTTCCTATGGAGTAAATATTAAGATGATGATATGTGATACTTTTGAGTAAACATAATACTAACATAGGAAACAACATTATTAGAAAGAGTTTAATCAGAAAATTGGGCCATGTTTTTAAAAATATGTTATTGTTTAACAAAAAATTTTAAATATTTTGGGGCAAACTGTTGTCCTTAAAGGAAGAGATGATTTTTTTAAAGAGAAATACATGATTAGATTGGAAATGTTCTGCACTTTACAGCACTGTAGTCACTAGCTATATGTATGGCTATTGAGCTCTTGAAATGGCAACTAGAGAAACCAGTTTTTTAATTTACATTTGATTTTAATTAATTTAAATGTAAATAGCTACATGTTGCCAGTGGCCACCGTATTGATTGTACAACATGGATCTAGATAGTATGAGTACTTTGAAGGAAAGTATTAGATTTTCCATCTAATTTATTAGTTGCTGGTATATATTTTTTGTAATAGCATTAACTAAGTAATAGTGTAATATTGTTAGCTTATAAGAAGAATATACAAATAGAAAATCCATGCTGAAATAAATATTTGTAGTGTATATCCTACTCTACCTGATTAGGATATTACAGAAGTAGAAACATTTCATGCATTTGGAGAACTAGAAGATTGAAAATACTTACGTATTTGGGGGGAGAAAGGGTTAAAGGGGAGAGAGATAGTGAGGAGAAAAGGAGAGTATGATAAATGGCAGAGACAGTGAAATATGTGAAAGCAGTAGAAAATATAGAAAATTGTTTTACAGTAAATCATCCAAGGGTGATATAGAAATAAAATGATTTTGTATGCAGAAAGGGAAGGAATTTTTGTTTTCTTTTGTTTGAGATCATGAATCATGTCACCTGAAAGATTTAAAGTTCTTTACTCTGCATGTGCTTATCGTATAGATCGTTTTACTTTATGTGGTAAAATATACTTTGAATGATTGACGCTGTTATGGCAAAAAGCCAGTACCATAGTGGTAGTAGCGTTTACAAAAAGACTCAGTCGAATGGATTCTGACGTGAGTTTTTCCTGTACTTTGGCGGGGACACTTTTGTAGGCAGAAACTGAATTACAAAGGGCCACAATGGATGCTGCTCGAACAACTCGCCATCTGGAGGAGACTATTGACAGCTTTGAAAAGCAGAAAATAAAGGATATAAAGGTAACAAAGTAACTGTTAAGGTTCAAAATATGTTTTCTAACCTTATTTTTTATTTAAATTTATGACAAATTTAAATTACTGATTTTTTTAGTCCATAAATAGTCTGTGTGAAAAAGATGTAAACAGAAACATATCAAATATTATTTTCTTATGGAAACAATGGTATTTAAAGGGGCTCCATTCCCAACCAAAGGCCAGATATTCAAATGTTATTACAAATAGTGTTAATCACAGAAAAATGACATTTATTATGTTTTTATGTATCAGGTACGGCTCCAGGCACTTTACATAAATTATCTTTTAATCTTTACAGCAACCCCATGAAAGTGAGGTGGTGTTATCATATATTATGTAAAAAAAAAAAAAATTAAGCAGAGATATAAAGTAACCTTTCTGAAGTATCATAGCCAAAAGTCTGAACCATAAACCAATTATGTATTTTAAAAATCTGTGCTTTCCATTATGATACACTATCACTAATTTTTATAGCTTATAGGTTTCTAATACCTACGTATTATCAAATAATTAAGAGTAGCTAACCACATAAACTTGCATCCACCATGGTATGGTGTCACAAGAATTGACTTATTATAACACATCAGTAGACATTCAGGATCATGGACTTGAGAAGGTCTTCAGTGACTTTCTCATAGGCATCTTGGAAAGATTCGGAGGATTACTTATGATCACGTTATGGCCTTTAAAACAAGTCATCTAAGGATGCCTTTTGGCTCACTGCAGATTTTCCTGGAACAGCTTTTAAAGAAGAGTATTTTTTGTCATTTTAATAACTTATTAACAAAGAAAATATCCTGCCTTCAAAAGTTACGTTCTTATCAATAAAATAGGCATTATCTGCCACTTAATTGTATCATTTCTCTCTCCAGTCCATGAAACAACATTCATTTGCCCTTTTATTTTTTTTAAATTTCCTATCATAGTTTCATAGGATTTCAGAACTTTGATTTTTCTGATAGCCAGGCTCAAACGTCTCTACTTTGGTCCTGAAGATTAAAAAAAAAAAAAAAAAAAAATTAAGCCTTTCCATTCACTCTGCACTCTGCTGTGTAGATTGCTACTCAGGAAGAGCACCTCAGGAGCTGCCCTGAGACAAACCCTTTTACCGACATAGAAGAGTGTGGGCAGGGCATTACATTTTACAACTGCTGACATCCTCTCTCAAATTGAGGGAGAAGGGAAGGATGATTAAAATAATTGGCTTTAATCTGAAAAATGAGATTGGAGACTTGTGAGGTATGTCTGATTCATTGCCACCTAAGTAAGGGCTTCTTTAGTGACTTGGGAGCCTGATTCCTCACTTTACCACTGTTCTTCATGCCTAAAAACTTCTCTTTTACACATGGCAATCTGCGTCTCTGATCTTTAGGCTCACTTCAGTGTTCCATCTGCATGCTGGCCAACTCTACAGGTGATTTTAATCCCATGAGCATCACCAGTTACAAAACGGGCAGAGACAGTGAGTGCAGAATTCCCAATTACAATTCCTACGACCTGGGATTTCCTGAAGCAGTAGGACATGGAGTAAGGGACTGCACAGTGGATGGTGCACAGAGAAGAAAAGGGCTTCCAAGCTTCTCTCTTGGCCTGCTATATCATGACCCTGGAAGAGGGAAGTCTTGTGGTGGTCACAAAAAAAGAAGACAGGAAAAAACCTACTTTTTTAAAAATGGAGAGAGAATTCATATACCGTACAATTCTCCTATTTAAAATGTACAGCTCAGTGGTTTTTAGTGTGTTCAGATATGTACAACCATCATCACTCAATTTTAGAACATTTTTATCATCTCAAAGTGAGGCCTAGTACACTTTAACTTTTACCTTCCTGCTCCCCCAGCCCTCACCCCCAGCCTAAGCAACCATCACTAATCTCATGTCTCTTTGGATTTGGCTATTCTGAACATACATTTCATATGAATGGAATCATAAAATACATGGCTTTTGTAACTGGCTTCTTTCACTTAGCATGCTTTCAGGGTTTAGCCATAGTGTAGTATGTATCAGTATCTCATTCCTTTTTATGGTGGAATAATATTCCATTGTATGGATATTAAGCACATTATGTTTATCTTTTCATCAGTTGATGGACTTTCGGATTGTTTCTACCTTTTGGCTATTATGATTAATGATATAAACATTCATGGACAAGTTTTTGTATAGACATATTTTCATTTCTATTGGACATTTCAGTTCAGTTCAACCATATAACCTGTTGAATGGCTGGTTCATATGGTAACTCTGTCTTTAATTATGTGAGAAACTGCCGGACTGTTTTCCAAAGTGGCTGTGCCATTGTATTTTCCCACCAGTAGTATATGAGGGTTCCAATTTCTCTGCATCCTCACCAATACTCGTTGTTCATCAGACTTTTTCATTATAGCCGTCCTAGTGGGTGTAGAGTGGTACCTTATTGTGGTTTTGATTTGCATTTTCCTGCTGATGCTTATGGCCATTTGTGTATCTTTTTTGAAAAAAGTGTCTATTCAGATCTTTTAATTGGGTTATCTCTTTTTATTGCATTTTAAGAGTTCTTTATATATTCTGGATACAGATCCCTTATCAGATATGTTTTGCAGTTATTTTCTTCCATTCTGTGAGTTCTTTTCACTATCTTGATGGTGTCCCTTGAAGCACAAAGCTTTTTAATTTTGATGAAGTCCAGTTTATCTTTTCTTTTGTTGCTTGTGCTTTTAATGTCATATCTCAGGATCCATTGCCAAGTCTGAGATTATAAAGATTTATCCCTATGTTTTCTTCTAACACTTTTATAGTTTTCATTGTTAAGTCTTTTATGCATTTAATTTTTGTGTATCATGTGAACTGAAGGTGTTAAACCCCATTCTTTTGCATGTGACTGACTATCCAGTTGTTCCAGCACCATTTATTGAAGAGACTGTTCTTTTCTCATTGAAGTCTAGGCACTCTTGTTGAAAATCAGTTGATGTGGTTTTGTTTCTGAACTCCCATTCTTATTGATCTATGTCTATCCTTATGCCAGTACCACACTGTCCTGATTAATTAACAGTGCTTTGTAGTAACTTTTAAAATCAGGGTGTGTGAGTTCTATTTTGTTCCTTTTTAAGATTGTTTTCGCTATTCTGGATCTGTTGTAATTCGGTATGAATTTTAGAATCAGCTTGTCAGTTTCTACAAGTCAGCTGGGATGCTGACAGGGATTGCATCAAATCTGTAGGTCAATTTGAGGAGTACTGCCATCTTAAGATTAATTCTTCCAATCCATGAACATGGGCTGGTTTTCCATTTATTTAAATCATCCTTAATTTCTTTTAACAATGTTTATAAGTTTCAAAGTGTAGGTTTTGTGCTTTTCTTTAACTTTTTCCAAAGTATTTTATGATTATTGATGCTACTGTAAATGGAATTTTGTTTACTTGATTTCATTTCAGTTCATTGCAAGTGCACAGAAATACCGTTGATTTTTGTGCATTGATCTTATATCTTGCAACCTTGCAAAACTCATTTATTAGGTCTGATAGTTTTTTGCAGATTCCTCAAGATTTTCTATGTACAAGATCATGTCATCTGTGAAAGTGTACACTTTTAATACAGGCCCCCATGACTCTAGCAAACTCCCAGAAATATGAGTTCCAGAGATTAATACCAGAGTCTGTTAAGGTTATGAATCTCTGTTCTGTATGTCTTTCCTCCTTACTGTCAAATTGTTCCTTTTCCAAGTTAGGCCTCATTTGAGATGTTTTATGATAAAGAGGGATGCACAGATCCTGTACCCAAAAGCCTCGAAAATCAATCAGAAGGGTTACTTTACCACCCACTTATTTCTAACAAAAACAATATTCAGATATTGCCATGTTGATTTTACCATGTCTGACAAACACCTCTGTTTGTGAGATAAATTCTTGGAAAAGTCAAAACTGTTGATCCCGCTCATGTTTTGGGAGAATCAGACACAAAACATTTTTTTTTTTAAAGAACATTCTTATTGTACCTGTTATCAGGGCTACTGCTTCAGATGGAGGCAGAGCTTCTGGGTCATTCTTTAACCTCCCTGGGGGTAGAAATGATTGGCAGTAGTGAGCACTGCTCATAACTGTATTAACTGTGTTTGAGGTGGGGTTTAATTGACAAGTCCATCTGAATTTTAGCAGCAGTGTTAATTAGTAAGGTAGCACAATTTTTAGGAAAAGACTTTTGATAGGAACCTTGCAAAGGATCTGTCTTTCTGGGAAAAGCTGGTATGAACTTAGTTGTATAGAATGTGGAAGAAAAGTCACAATCCTATTTGTTTCCCATGTAATGGAAAAAGTCATCAGTTATATGGTGTCAAGGGAATTTCTGACCTATGAAAACGATCTTGACCAGGGGTCACTCCTGGAACAGATAGGGACAGGAATTCAGTACTGGTAAAGTCGCTGACGTGAGCAAGAAATAGCTTCAAAACTTAATTTTTAGTAACTTTATTTTTCTTATAAATAAATATGAAATCACCATGACTTTTTTTCATAAAATTGAGAAAAATGTAATAATTCCACTGCTCAGAAATAAGCCGTTTTGGTTTATATCCTTCCAGACTTTCTTTCTATGAAATATACTCAAGAAATATACTAATAAGAATAATAACAACAAATATTTCTTAGACATTAACTATGTCACACATTCTAAGCATTTTATATGGATTAACTCATTTCCTCCTCACAGTGTCCTATGAGAAAGGTAATATTATTACCACTATACAGTTTTATTTAAATGGGGCCACACTATATGTAGCATCTTTTTAAAATTTAATATATCATGGATATATTTGTGCTGAGGAAACAAAGATCCATATTGTCCATAATGGCACCATCATATGGTATTTTGCTATATGGATATATCAGTTTATTTAAACAGCCCTCATTGATGGACATCTAGATTATTTTTGCAATTACAGATCTCATTGCATCATTAAACATCAGCCTTTTTTCTGGTCCAGTTATTCTCTTGGGATAAATTACTAGAAGTGGCATTCTCATTCAAAGAGCATACACACTTTCAATTTGGATAGCTGTTTTTAACTTCTGTCCACAAAGCTTTAACTAGTTAACATTTCTGCAGAACCTTACATGAGCACACCAATGTAACAATGACGAGTAGTAGTATTTTTAATAATAAAATAATCTAATAGGTGAAAAATCAGTATCATCTTAATTTGCTACAGTTACTACTGTTGAGGCAGAGTATTTTTTCATATATTTAATGACACATTTTTCTTTAGTAAATTACTCACATTTGACCTTAGCCTATATTTTTATTGAGTGTTGGCATTTTTCTTATTAATTTGTAAAAATTCTTTATATTGAGAATATTAACCCATTATATTAAAGAGAAGATCTGTTGCAAATATATTTTCCCATTTTGTTGCTTATGGTATGTTTTTACCACCTTAAAGTCTTATTTTTGCTGCCAGATCTATTGATCTTCTCCTTTTTGATTTCTGCCTTGGTGTCATGCTTAGAAAGGAGTTTTCATCCCCAAGATTATATAATTATTTGCTCATATTTTCTAGTATTTGTGTGATTTTTTAATATTTTAAATATTTTATTTTATGCAGTTGTATTTTGCCTATGGTATGAGGTAGATGTCTAACTTTATTATTCTCAAATGGATAGAAAATTCTCCTGACATCATTTATTAAATAGCCTCTACTCCGGAGAGCTGTCATTTCCCATTTGCCAAAATTATTAACAAGACCTTTTATGACTTTTTTGTTAAATATCCTGCTTTCTAATTAAACCAGATGGAGGCTTTAATGTTATGATAAGGAACATTTTCTAATTTAGCTGGTTTACTCCTTGGACAATAAAAACAGCACACTTGTGCTGAGCACTTACTCTAAGCCAGTTACCATACTGTACCTTTTCCTGGATTACATTTAATCCTTAAGGCAAAACCTAAGATGTTGAAATTAAGGAGAAAAGAACAAAGTGTTTAATATTACACAGCTGATTTGTTTCCGTCTTGATTTGAACCCAGGTTTATCTTAATCCAGAGCCCCTATTTTAAACTACTAGGCTACCTGCTTTGCAGAATACTTGCGAATGGGTAGAGAATTTCATATTAGCTCCCCCACCACCCCCACCAATAAAAATTAAGTACGTACCCAAATGGCCTTCTAGTCACACAAAATAAAATTGAAAATGAGGAAAAAAAAGTAATGTGTGAATGCCTCTGTCCCTGACCATACTGACCCATTCCAGATTAGCAGATTACATGAGATCATTGAAAGCTATGTTTATTTGAGGAAAATTTTTTCTAAATATGAATGGATCTTTCAAAGTTCCACCACCTTTCTGGTGACTCACTGAAATTATTTTATTTTAAAAACACAGTGTTTTTATGTTCTTTCTTATACCAGTTGTCATCTGATTCTTCCTTGCTATTATCCTCCTCCTTTTTGCCCATTTTCCCATGTTTCATGAAATTCTATCAATAGCTAGAAAGAAAAAGTATAACTGGTAGTTTTTCCTCCTTACTATACTCAGGGATATAACTGTCCTCTCTGATAATCTTAAGGCTTCATGGTTCTTGGGTCAAAAATTCCAAGTCTGGAATACTGCCTTAGCAATGCCACTGATTCTCCATCACTGTTTTTGACAGAAGAGTTAACAGGGCCATTCCCACCTTAAATAGATATATAGTATATGTTCTGTCAAGAAGTAAAAGGTCAAACCATAAAGGATTAAACCAAAGTATCACAAAACTTGAGTGATTTTTCACTCATGTTCCAAGTAAAATAAAAGGTCAAACCATAAAGGATTAAACCAAAGTATCACAAAACTTGAGTGATTTTTCACTCATTGTTCCAAGTAGTAAATAATAGCCATTTACTAATTAAAGCTACTTCTTAAAATGTTTTCTATCACTAAGTGAAATTAAATTTTGAGACTGCAAAATGCTAACAGACTCAATGTTGAGCTCTGTCTTTTCAAATGAGAGTGTAATAGATTCTTTTATCAGAGGATATGGATAAACCAAAATAATGTATCATTCTTCAGTGACAGACATATCAACATATTTTCAGGGCTTACTTATGAGCTAAGGGGAATATAACTCCTATAAAATGCTATTATTAAGAAATTGTTAGTTCAGAGATGACATCACATTCAGAGATTTTGGCATCAGGGATTTAATAACTATATTCAAATATTTAAAAAATACTTTAAATTATTTTGAATTTTTTCCATATTCCTCAGTTACCACAGTGGAATAGACTTGAATTAAGCCTAAACCTACAGATTTAGGTGTAATAAGGCTGTAAATGTTTGGATTTCATTAGTTATTAAATAGTGTGCCAGTCTCTTAAAGATTTAGAATGTTCATTTGTAGAACTATTTAAAAATAGGAGTAATACCCAATTTACTTGAGCGATTTAAGCTTAACCCCTTACTTTCTAGCTAGTCAACTATCTTAGGAAGACTGACAAGAGAAGTACCAGCCCTAGTCAAAAGCCATTCTACCTCTAAGGTATTCCTATCTGGAGATTCTTGGTGTGGAATCCAAAGTTGCACCTTGGCATAATGCTGTTTATTAGTCAGTTGCCTGTCCAGTATACCAGAGCACTTTGTGACCTATATGAAGTGACAGTAAAGGTCATTGTCAGTTATAGTTATAAGTCATTTATCCCAGAGCCCAATCTTTGCATTTAGCCCTACATATGTGCTTGGCAGCTCAGAAGGGTTACTTTCAACTACAGATCTATTTCCACTGAGTAGCAATCAGAAGCCTGTTAGTTCTCCCTTAAATATTTTTCTAATCCTTAAGAATGGAGATGGAGAGGGGGAAAAAAAAATCACAGGACACTAAGGGATATCTGTATGGCTACTTTGCAAGGTGCAGGACCACTCCTATCTGGGTGGTTAACACAGGAGAACAGAAATGAAGGAAAATGAGTATTTGACTATTGCCTTCTAGCCTAACCCATCTCATCTGTATTGCCCCTGAAAGGACAATGCTCGAGTATTTTCTATCCTATTCTTATTCTGCCCACTTCTCTTTACATTAATGCTCTGATTTTTTATTTTGATAAGGGATAAGATAACAAAAGGATAGATCCTATTTTATTGAAAACTTGTCTGGCTTGTATACTTTCCCTACCCACCGATTATCTCACCTCTGCTTAGATCAACATGCACATCTTTATTCATTTCTCTTTGCTCATGACCTTCCCTACTGTAAGTTGTCATCATCATGCTCATAGAGTTTACCTGTAGTTTATTTTTAAAGGAAATGATTGATTCCAGCGAGAACAGCACAGTACAATGAGCAAGAGCTATAACTTTGAAGAGTCAGATCTAAGTCTTAACATTATAGCTGTGAGCAACACTGGACAAGTCATATATTTGTAAACTGGAAAGCTCTATGCAAATGTACGGTGCTATTATCAGTAGTAGGAATATCATTATTACCAAGTAATCCCTTTGTGGTTAGAGAATATAGGTATCATATAAATATGATGGGATAGAATTCTTGCCTAAAAAACATTCTTTTAAACATCAGTTGGAGTTGCTAACAAAAAACAGCTTCAGTACTAAACTGCTTTAGCTAATACTTATAGGCACTGAGCAACAGAGTACATAATGACATACATTTTAGTCAAATCTTTTTTAAAATCATAAATATCTAATAGAAGAACTGACTAAAAAAGGGAAGTAAATAATAAGATAGGAAATATTTTGTGTAATTTGAAAGTTTTGCTGCAGAAGGGCTTTGCAACTATTTTTATTCCAGTTATCTTTTGTACTTCATCTGCCCTGTGGAAAAACAGACACCTCTGTATCTCATAAAATGCCAAGACTATATAGTAAGGAATAAATTTACTAAATTCATGAAGCAGTTTATATGATTGTTTAAATTCAAATCCTTGTGTTTTTAGACTATATTTTCAGAATTTATCACTATCGAAATGTTATTTCATGGCAAAGCTTTAGAGGTCTACACTGCTGCCTACCAAAATATACAAAAGATTGATGAAGAAGAAGATTTAGAGGTAAGACTACGTCCATCTAAGCTCAGTTCTTCTATTAATATGGAAATGTTTAAAAGAAAGCATTAGTTTGGGTAAAAATATCTTAAATTAGAACACTACATGGTTTAGATGTTATTGTATGCAGTTCCAAATAGCTGAACCTGTATGACTATTTATTTCTATTTATTTTTTAACTGTTCAAATTAACCATGGTAGAGTTCCAAGGATTAATATCTAGTAAAACATAGAAATAAAGCCATTACATGAAATAATGTATCATTTTGACTAGTGATATGTCACTTACATGTGCTAAAAATAGCATTTATTGATTTGAGCTAACATTTGAGTGTTTATGCCACAACACCCAAAGCTTTACAGGCATTTTCTCACTCACTCCTTTGATGTAGGTACTGTTATCGTTCTCGTTTTACAACTAAAGAAACAGGTGTAGAGGTTTTAAGTAACTTAACTTGCCCTTGGCCACTTAGCTAGCAAATAGCAGAATCTGGCTTCTAACTAGTTTTGTGGGACTTAATCAGTAAGCTATGAAATAAATGCAGGTTTGCTTTGTACTGATACTTAAATGCAAATAAATCTTACTGGCCAGCTAACATTAGAGCAATTACATATCAGAGCCTGGTTTCAACCAGCTCACCTGTAGAGTTAACGTCCTACAATCTTACCTTCCAAAAGGGGAAAAAAAGGCAAAGTATTTTTGCTGAAATAGATAAAATATTCGAGATATACTCTGTCTACAGTAGAAGTGAAAAAGGCCACGTACTCTCAAGATATAACCAGAATTTTGTATTAATAAGTGATAGAATTTGAGAGTGTCTGTCATTTCATAATTTTGAAGATTCCATTTTTTTTTTAACTGAAGTATCTATAAAGAGATCCCCTGGGCCTTCACTTTCCACTACTCTGCTGGTTCCAAGAAACTTGAATTCAGTAAAACCAGATAATAGCTTGGCCAAAATGAAGAAAAGTACGTGTTTTAGTATGTGTATATACATTTTCCAGCGCCAAAATCTGATCTCAGTTTTACCTCAGTTAAGCATACATGATCGTATTTCTATTACTGTTTGTTAACAGATGGCTTCTTAAGTGTCTATTCCCTCCAAATACTAAAGCTAAGGTTTCTAAATTTTTACTCCTTTTTATATCCTATTTTTTAAAAAAATAGATCAAGCTTTTATCTGTAATTTGTAAAAGTAGCAAATGTTTATATAGTGATTACTTTGAACCAGCTACTGATCTATGCATTTTCATTGTATTATCTTAACCCTACCATCAACTTTAATAAAAGTATTTATTATCCTTACTTCTGTGGATGAGAAAACTGAGGCATGGTGGGGTTAAGGAACCTCCCAGAGGATCCCATAGCTAGTAACAAAGCTGGGAGCCAAACCCAGAAGTTTGACTATAGAGATTGTGTTTTTATCCTATCTATACTGCCAGAAGCGTGGTTCTTGATGAGTGACATGAACCATTTCCTACAAGAAACAATACTATATTGAGTGGCAGGTTCAAAATTGATCCCTCGCTTTTCCTACAAGACTTAAGTTTCCTTTACAAGTATTTTCATTCTCCTTTTTCTAATACCCTTGACCCAATACACTTGTCACTAAAGTCACTAAAAGTTCCTTCAAGCCCTTTGGACCCCAAGATTTTCCTTCTCATTCCAGAGGTCCTAGATATCTTTTTTGTCACACCACTTCCTTTACCACTTCTCTTACCACTGTTCTTCATCAGCTAGCTAGGTAGGTTGTAGGATTCATTAAAAAAAATTCAAGATCTCAGGGCTGTGTGGTAGATGTGTTTTTGAGTATGAACTTCCCCATTTTTTCTACTGGGGCAGTATTGAGCAAGTTAACTTTTTCATGCTTCAGCTTCCTCATCTGTAAAATGGAGATACTTATAGTGCTTACCTCATAAAAAGTACATTCATCAACTGTTTATTGAGCACCTGTTATATGCCAGACACCATTCTAAGTGCCAAGGATTTAGCATTATACGAATTGGTCCAAGTTGTCAAAAAAGCAGAAACTTAAAAGGAGTTCAGACATTTAAAAAATATACTGTGTAACTATTTACGCTTTATAATGTGAAGAAGAAAAAAATATACAAAGAAAAAATATAGTGCGCTTTAAGTGTATGTGATGGAGGATTCTAAATAGTCTAGAGAAAGAATGATTTCTTAATCAGAAGTTTGAGGGATAAGTAGGATACGTGGCAACAGCTTTCAGGCAGAGAGCTCAGATAGGCATACAAAGGTCCTGAGATGTCATGAACTATAGGCCTAAGCTATCACTACAATGCCATACAGAAATTGTGGAAAGGAGAAGAGAGCAGTCTGGGGAAAGTTGTGTGGGACAAGTCGAAGTAAAATTACATCAAACAGCTACCAAGATGAGGAAGGACCCTTTAAATACAAGTTTCTTGGAAACAAGTAGAGAAAATATGCAGAGAGGAACAGAGAAATAATTTGCTGTTCTTCTTAGATAGCAGTCCTGACTTACTCAGGCAGCAGCTAATTATTTGAATCTAGTTATCAGAAACCATCTTACCTGATTTGTTCTTCACATAAAAAGTATTGTCAGGCCCATATTCCCCTTCAAAAGATCACCTCTGTACATTCAGTTCAGAGCATATTTCAGATCTTGAGACTCACTCCTAGAAGAGATCTTGGACCATATTGGAAAATGCATTATTGCCAATAAATTAATATTCCTGTAAATCTGTTGTTTTGCAGTAGGAGACTAATATTCAACTGGTTTAGACTTTTACCCCAAGGGTTGTAAATTATCTTCCACTTCCCACTTTTATCTTTGCTAGAAAAGCTTAAAAAGGAATGTCGTTCTAACAAAAATATATTTCTTCCAAATACCAGTGGATTGAGTCGTCCAGTTTTGATATCATACCAGGATGCCAGGTTCCATGTCTGGCACCAAAATATAATTGGGTCCTCAGTAAACTGTTCAATAACCTAATTATTAGCATGCCTGAATTGCCCTTAAACCAAGTCATACCTCTTGCGTTGTTTCATCCCTTGATTCGTTTGGTGTCCTGCACTTCTTTAAGGTTTAAAGAAATGTGTAGAGACATCCCCTAGTTTGGGTCGTTTTTTCTCAAAACACCCAGATTAAGTTCATGTTAACATCATTCATTTACCAGGCTACTGTCTTAAGCTGGAAGGAACTGCAAAGATAAAACAAGGCTTCTTGCTCTAGAGGAACTTAAAACTAGTTGTGGAAACAGACATGTAATTACAAAACAGTGAGATAAAAGCTGTACTGAGGGTATAAACAATAGGAGCTACTGACTAGAGAACAGGGGAAAGCAGAAAAAAGATGGCATTTGACTTGGCTCCTGAAGGATGAGTAAGTGCGCTGAAATTCCAGGCTGAGGAACGAGCACTGCAAAGTCACAGTAGTATTACATGTTCTGCATATAGGTATATATGCTAAAAGTGAAGTATAATGGGTAGGTTTGGGTGATTGTAAGCCTTGAATGTCACCTAAGGCATTTAGACTCTCAATAGTCAGGAGCCAAAGTTTTCTAGTCAGAGAAAGTTGTCAAAAAAGGTAACGTGGCCTAAGGGAAACCCTTTAAAAATATTTCAGGTATGTGCAGTAGAAAAAGGGATGTGAAGAAATAGAGCAGCTAGCACATGAAGAGTTTCGTGATGGCATGCATGGAAAAGAAGTTTCAGGACAAGGTCAGCTGAAGACAAAAAGACAACTTTGGTAACTGACAGCAAGACCAATATCAGTGGAAGGGGAAAGCCTAATTGTAGTTTGTTGACAAATGAAGTAGAATGTTTGAGAAGATTTTTAAAAAGTAAAGTTATACCTTGAAGTAATTTTTTTTTTAATGGATCTCGTTTGTGGGGGAGGAAAACTGGAGAAAGAGAGCTTTTGTTTGTTGAAGTTTTGCTAAAGGGAAAATGCACCTTGGAGAGAATCAGAATGACATTTGCTTTAAAAAAGGAAAAGGGGGCCTCCCTGGTGGCGCAGTGGTTGAGAGTTCACCTGCCAATGCAGGGGACGCGGGTCCATGCCCTGGTCCGGGAAGATCCCACATGCTGTGGAGCGGCTGGGCCCGTGAGCAATGGCCGCTGAGCCTGCGCATCCAGAGCCTGTGCTCCGCAATGGGAGAGGCCACAACAGTGAGAGGCCCGTGTACCGCAAAAAAAAAAAAAGTAAAAGGATAGGGTGAAGAGTTGAGAAAAAAAAGAGGGAATATGAAGAAATTCACATCTGACAGACTTGCCTTCTTTGTTACAGAAATGGTGGAAAAGCTACAGGTAGGGAAGCTTAAGACCACAGTAAGATTTGGAACTACTGCCAAGCAATGGCATTCCAGATCCTAGTGAGATTGGAATCCATAAATTAGAGTGGCTCCATTTACTCTTCTGTGATGTACTATGAAAGCCATCAGTGAATTTAAACTGATAAAGAGTTGAGGATAAGCAGAACAGAAAGAATCAAAGTTGTGACTTAGTCTTCCCACTGGCTTGCATACTCTTTGAATGTAGGAACTTTTCATGTTTCACCAGCAAAAGCTCTTAAGTGATTGTTTCAGGGCCCGTCATCATCTTAGGTGGTTCAATAGAATTTTTTAGCTTACATCTTCCAACGTAAAATATTTATTTTATTTTTTTGATTTTTGTTTTAAATTTACAATAAATAAACTTTGTCCCCAGTGTGGGGAGGGGAGTTGCTTAAAAAAATTCTAAGCTAAGGGGGAACTTAACATGATAAACTAGAGGGAACTTAACATGATTTTCTAGATTTCCATTGTTTAGTATCACTTTATAATGTTTTATCATTGCAACAGGTTTTCCGAAATTCTCTGTATCCACCAGATTATTCATCCCGTTTAGATATCGTAAGAGCAAATTCAAAGTCACCTCTTCAGAGATCACTGTCAGCTAAGTGCGTATCTGGAACAGGACAGGTGAGCTAGAAACCATAATTTAAAGGAATGTGAGCTACTGCCTTTGGAATTGTTCAGTACTAAAAATGTTTCCCTTAAGTCACAGGACTTCGAATAACTTACCCGCTCTTACCCTCTTATGTAAAATAACAGAAGACTGCACAAGGTTCGGCTCTTAATTCTTTTATCATCTGTAAGATACTACTCTCTGAAGCAGAACACTTGGGAGCAGAGGTGGAAGGGACAGGAAAATGCTGATCTACATTTGTTCTCTGGTATAGCAGGAAGAGCACAGATTCTGAGATCAAACTATTTAGGGTTTAAATCCCACTATCACAGCTTACTGGAAATGATACCTAAAAAGGGCTTTTGTTGAACATTATCATAGATCCAGAAGCACATATCTTTAGGGTAAAGAATCAATTTTCTTTTCTTCTATATCCAGAAAGCCTGAAGTACCTGATATCTAGAACAGGGAGGGGTCAACCACCTTTTTCTCTAAAGGGCCACACAGAAAATAGCAGGTTTTGTGGGCCATATGGTCTCTGCCCCAACCAAGAGCAGCCATAAACAATACATGAACAAATCAGTAGTTGTAATAAAACTTTATTTACAGAAACGCCACAAACTGGGCTATAGCTTGCCAACTCCTGATTTAGAAAGCTATGGCCTTTTTCATATCTAGCCTTCAGAATTCAAAATTGAGCAAAATATTTTCAAAATACAACTTTCAGGTAAGTGTGACCCAGTACCTTCTGTTTACATTTGATTCTCCTCTAAGCATTTATTTACTGCTTTTTATTTATGCATCTCTCCCCTTAACCAAATTATATTTTTATTATTCCAGTACTAAGTGCCTTGCACATAAATTCCATAAATCTAGTATTATAGTACTAGTATTATAGTACTATAGTATTATAGTATGCAGAGTTTTGACCTTTTAGAGCTAATAATATCACCTAAGTTAGCCAAGATCTGTGTAGCACTTTAGAATACACAATCCCAGGGTTTCTCAACCTCAGCACTATTAACTTGGAGCCAGATAATTTGGAGGGGGGGGAGGGAGGGAGGGGTACTGTCCTGTGCATTGTACAGATGTTGAGCAGCATCCCTAGCCTCTACCCACAAGATGACAGTAACACACAAACACACACCCCAGTTTTGACAATCAGCAGTGTCTCCAGACATTGCCAGATGTCCCCTGGGTATAATCACCCTCAGAAAAGTTTGAAGCAGGATGATCCAAGTGGCAACAGTCAGGACTTAAAGCCAAGTAGTGAATTCAGATTCTCAACTCATTACATTTAAATCAGACTATTTTTAAAGTTTAATATTTCAGTTGCCTAGTTGAAATATCCTTGTGTTTTTGCCATCCCTTTAATGAGTTTCATTCAGATACCTGTTTTTGTGACCTAAGAACTGTTTAACTTAAAATATTTTTTGACATTTATAATATACAGAGACTATACTTTTCTCTGAAAGTCGGTTATTGAAGTACTGGTACCCAACTGGAATCAAATGACTAATTTCACATTTTTCTTCAAAAAATAATATGAATGAAAAAATTTTGCGTCTGTTTTCAAACCTTAAGATACAATAATTCATAGGGAATTTTCATTACTAAAAATTACTACTTATGGACATTTTTCTGAAATATTTGTTCTACGTGTACTTCTCTATCAGGGCGTATTAAAAAGATACCAAGGGCTTCCCTGGTGGCGCAGTGGTTGAGAGTCCGCCTGCCGATGCAGGGGACACAGGTATGTGCCCCGGTCCGGGAAGATCCCACATGCCGCGGAACGGCTGGGCCCGTGAGCCATGGCCGCTGAGCCTGCGCGTCCGGAGCCTGTGCTCCGCAACGGGAGAGGCCTCAACAGTGAGAGGCCAGCGTACCGCAAAAAAAAAAAAAAAAAAGATACCAAGCATGTAAAAATATTTTTTAGTTAGTATTATTTAAAATGTTTTAACTTTTAACAGGTATCCACCTGTCGACTAAGAAAGGATCAACAAATAGAAGATGATGAAGAGGATGAAGACTTAGATGTTACAGAAGAAGAAAATTAAATTTCTTAAGTAAACTTTGCATTTCCATTTTCATCTTAAATGACTTGGAATCCAGAATGACTAAAACTGTAAAACTTTATACTGGCTTGAAATAAAATGAAATCCTACTGGAAATGGAGAAATTATTAAAGGAAATTTATGCTGACCAAAAATGAAGTTTTAAAAAATATTACAAACCAGTCATTTCAACATTCTGTCTAGCAGCATGTGATCTTTTTGTATAAGTTCCATTTTTTAAAAAAGATTATGTATTTCAGAAGTATTTCATATTAATGCATTATACCTAGTTGAGGTTACACTAGTTAAATAGATAACAACAACAACAAAAAAAATCTAACAATTCCACTTGCTTCCTTTAGGTTAAGACACCGTGCTTTCAATACCAGAAAAGGGTCCTAGATAGTCATTCTGATGAAATACAAATTCTGTTCCATAAAGCTTTAATCAAAAAGCCAAGTTTTCTTTTTTTACTTTTTTTTCACTTCTACTACAACCTGAAGTTTCATCATTCAATATATAAATTTACTTTTCAACGAGAGTATTATAGTCACTCTTAACAATAATAGGACACTAGGATATTGGTGTTTTACAACTATACATAAAGCATAAATTTTAGCTTTAGAAAGCTACATTCAGCTTGATTCTGGTTTTAAAACGAAGCCACTGTCATACTAAAGTGCTATATATGGCACTACATCTTTTGCAAAGCTATGATTTGGTGGAATGTTGCCCTAAAAAACATCATGGAAAACCATAAATCAGTAAAAATTCTGTAAAACTTTTACCAAATTACCATCTAATCAATAAAAGAATGTACAGTCACTCTTGTTCCTGAAAATATAAGACAATTTAATCAGAGCCTTTCAGTATGTCTGATGCTTTTCTTCTTTGGATGGGGAATTGTACTTCTGTTATTTCATAGATCCCAGTCAGGCATATAAAAATTAGGAAATGATCATTTGGGATTACCACAAAAGGATAACAGAAAAATAAAACTTTCCAGAAAGCTTTTTTGACTTTGTTATTCATGGTTCTATTCTTAACAAAGCACTGCTTCAAGAAAATAGCCCTAAGTGATAAATTTACTTAGTTTTTAAGTAAAATATTCAAAACATTTTAAAATCCTAAATAATTTGATATTCTTAAAAAACTGAGGATATCATTGCATTTTTATTTTCTCAGTATTTAATCTTGGTATTTGTAGCTGGGAGAGTATTGCTCTTGCTGCTTATGATAGCAATTCACTTCTCTTGAGCATCAGTTGCCCTACTTATAAAGTTAAAATAGTGCCTGATATATAAAGCAATCAGCAAATAATTCTGATATAAAATGTATGCTTTGGCTACTTCAAAAAAAATATTCTAAGGACAAAAGGAATATACAAAATACTTTCGATGTAAAATTAAATTTTAGACCAGACATAGGTTGGCAAACTCCTTAAAGGGTTACACAGTAAATATTCTTACAATTTGTGAGCTGAGAGACAAAATCAAGGCTATTACATAGGTACTTATGTAACCCTATTTAAAAATGTAAAAGCCTCTTTTAGCTTCCTTATAAAAAGACAGGCTATAGGCTTCCATTTCTTATCTCCAAAATAGGTTTATTAGGGTTATTGGAACTAAATGATATAGTTAATTCACATGTAATTAAAGATCATAAATACACAGTATCACAGCTCATTAAATATTAGCTTACATTTAATACAAAGATGGAGGTGATAGGGTCACTGCTTAATAGGTGATATATGGACCAAGAGCCAATGCTCTTGACAGTATTTTCAGTAAGTGGTAAGTGTGTGCTCCTAACACAATGATTCTTACCTATCTCTTGGGATTAAGTTTACTTTCTAGGCATGATCTATATTTTTCAGAATACCTCGAGTCAAAAATGTTTGGCTTTAAGATAATTAAAATGCCACTGGGTATTAAACTAGAGAACCAATATGCCACTGTACCTGATACATCTAGGAGAGGAAACAAAACTGGCTATGAGATAATTATTGGAGCTGGGTGATGGGTGTATGAGGATTTAGTACACTATTCTCTTACCTGTTTGAAATTGGTGGTGTGCTGGTAGTTGGCTCTCTGGGGTGGAAAATGCCCTGATTTTCTGCATTTACCAATTTCCATGGTGTGAATACTCCTACCACGGCCAATTTAAGTTATCAACATGTCACTGAAGGCAGAGTTGGGAACAGATATGCAAAAATGGCTCCCAAGAAGTAGAAGCCAGCTTTCTGTAATAAACTTTTTAAAGTTAAAAAATATATTAAACCGAAGATTACGGAGTAAATTAACTATTCATATCAATCCATTAATTTTACAATCGAAATACAAAGCCTGTGTTTACTATTGTGATAGCCTCTTATCTACCACGACCATCCCAGCCTAGATTGAGAAGCAGTTCAATATTAAGTGATACTGCACTTTAAGCTTCATCTTAGCTTTTACTGATATATATTTAAGAAGCATTTTTAAGTCTTCCCATATCTCCTCCAATAAATTATCTAAATAATCTCTGAGCAGTTAAAAATATCATTTCTTCTTATTGTCATTTTCCTAGCTGCTTGTAAGCTTACTAGTTTCAAGAGCCATACTGATGTGCTTCTTTGAACCAAATTTACCAATTTATTCATTCCACTAGCAAGAACGACACTCAACATAATTAAAAACACAGAGGGCTTCCCTGGTGGCGCAGTGGTTGGGAGTCCGCCTGCGGATGCAGGGGACAGGGGTTCGCGCCCCGGTCCGGGAGGATCCCACGTGCCGCGGAGCGGCTGGGCCCGTGAGCCATGGCCGCTGAGCCTGAGCGTCCGGAGCCTGTGCTCCGCAACGGAAGAGGCCACAACAGTGAGAGGCCCGCGTACTGCAAAAAAAAAAAAAAAAAAAAAAACGCAGAAACTTCGGTTGGTTTTTCTTAGACTTCTTTAAATCACTAAAGATTAATCCAAAATACTTATAGCACTAACTGGCTAAATACTGACAAAGTATTCTACTTCTGCCATACCCTATTATTAAATGACTAAACTACTGATATAAATTCAAACTTTATTCTTATTTGCTCACTGTGGGAAATATCTAAATCACAGAATTGAGGAAAATTAACCTTGTTTTATGTAAACTATAAAAGGCCAACCAAAGTCAAATCATGTTTCATAAGATGAACAATTTTAAATTAGAAGCCAATACATAATGTTTGTCTCCCAGAGAAACCCTGGAAGTTTCAGTTACTTTGTCTTTTATTAACAATGTTTGGGCATACTAATTTTATCTTTTCTTAATGCTATTTTTAAAGCAAAAATGGAGGTAAGAAAATATCCTTTACTCTTGAAAATATTTTTAGCATGGTCTTACTAAAATTAAAAACAGCATTTAACAAAGTTAGCAGGCAAAAGTATTAAGAGCATGAACTGGAGTGTGTAGTCTGTCTGGGTTGAAACTGGCTCCATGATTTACTAGCTATGACTTTAGGCAAGTAACTTAAACTCTCTGAATTTCATTATCTCATTTGTGAAATAGCGCTAAATACTCTTAAGCTTCTTAGGGAATAATTAAGATTGACATTATGCCTGTAAAGTACTTATACTGCCTAGCACACAGTAAGTGCCCAATGTAAGCATTAACATTATGATGGTATAGAAAATCAAATCCAGTATTTGCAAAATGTCTAAATGTCTAATATCAAAGAAGTCAAAATTCAATCTCACAAAAGTCTTGTTATATTTAGTCACTGAGTCTTTGGATAAAAAGTTTTGAAATTAAGAGATGAGAACCTAATTTGAAAAATACAATTTATATGAATCATCAGTAAATTCTTCCTAGAAACACAAACTATGTCCATTTATCAGATTCTTACCAGCATAAGCCTGAAAGTCCCCTTGTACCTATAATTACTTTTTTATTTTTTTGTCTTTAAGTATTTTGAGTAAATCTTATCAGTTTGGTTGATGAGATGTTGGAAGAAACCACAGAACTATACACAGCACTAATACACTATTATTACAGAATGTTTGGTCTCTCCTGTCATAAATATTACCTTATACAGCTGTTGGAAACCTTCACAAAAGAAGCTATAATATTTTTTTCTCTTTGTACAAATACAATTAGTTGGTTTATTCAGTTGCAATTTTTTTATTTTTATAAAATTTTGAAAGTTATGATCATCGAAGTTTTAAGAATTTCCTAAGCTTTTTACATAAGTAAATTTCAAGTTCACAGTCTGTCAATTTTGAACTATTTATGATTAAGGGGAGGCTTAACAGTAATATCTCAGACAAGGAAGAGGGCATTAATTCTGCAGGCAGTTAGCAATGAAAATGCTAACCCTGAACAGTCAGTCACTGACCATTTCCTTATACAGTTTGAGTAACAAGATGTAGACTACAGAATGGAAACAAAAGTGAATATAAAACTTATCTTCCCCAAATACAGTTCTACTATACAAGTCTTGACGTTTACCCATGACATCAACAAAAATTAATGCACTCAGGGAATTAGTTCTCTCCCCCACTGGTCAAAAAAAGGCATATATATTTTTAAGTTAGAAAAAGTGAACGGCAATTTGCAAGCAAAAGAAAACCAGATTCACATTCTATTTACATTTGTTCTAGTCACAGGTCAAAATTAAGATGTTTCTTTTCATTAGTTAAAAGTAAACACTTAAAAAAATGCATTTTACTGCATCAATACTGTGGGGAGGTAATTCTGAATTTAGAAATGCTCTCTAGAGCAAAATTAACTTAACTTTGCGGGGGCCAACTGGCCTATCATTCAGATCTTTAATAGCAGCCATAGCTTCATTGTAGTTTATCATGGCAACAATGGCTTCCCCTGTAGGTAATCCTTGCTCGTTATACTGTATTGAAACTGAATCAGGTATGATTCTGTAACCATGGAAAAAGTCTAGAATTTCATTAACATTAGCTTTAAATGGAAGATTCATTATCTTAATGGGTGTTACTCTACCTGAATTACAATTTAATTTTGGATCAGGCATAAATCTCCCCTCAGGAAAACTTCCCATATTACGCTTTCCAAAATCAAACTTGCCACCTTCTGGGCGACCAAAATTCACAAAAGGGCGATGACTTCTAAAATCATCAGGGGGGCTCCTAAACTCCTCACCAGGAAGTCTAAAACTGTCAGTAAGTCTAGGGTCCTCCTCTGGAGCTTCCCTGAGGTCTTCCTCCGGGAGCCGCCTGAAGTCCTCATCGGAAGGGCTTCTAAAATCTTCCTCCTGGGGATTCCTGAAGTCCTCATCAGGAGGGTGCCTAAAGTCTTCATCTGGAGGACCCCTGAAATCTTCATCCAGTGAGTGCCTAAAATCTTCCTCTCGGGGGCGCCTGAAATGCTCCTGGGATGGCCGCCTGAAATGTTCCTGAGGCGGCCGTCTGAAATGCTCCTGGGGTGGCCGTCTGAAATGCTCTGGGGGCGGCCGCCGGAAATGCTCCTGAGGTGGCCGACGGAAGTGCTCCGGGGGCGGCCTCCGGAAATGCTCCGGGGGTGGCCGCCGGAAGTGTTCCGCAGGTGGCCGCCTGAAGTCCTTCTCAGGAGAACGCCGGAAATCCTCCTCAGGAGACCGCCTGAAGTCCTCCTCGTGGGGCCGCCTGAAGTCCTCCTCGGGAGGTCGCCGGAAGTCTTCCTCTGGAAGTCGCCTGAAATCCTCCTCAGGGGGCCGCCTGAAGTCTTCCTCAGGTAGCCGCCTCCATTCCCCCGGGGGAAGCCGTCTGAAGTCCTCCTCAGGAGGCCGTCTCCAATCCTCCTCAGGTGGCCTCCTGAAGTCTCCCTGGGGGGGCCGCCTCCAGTCCTCCTCAGGGGGTCTCCTGAAGTCTTCCTTGGGAGGCCGCCTGAAATC